CTGGGCAGAGAGCTAAAATCTGTGAAATTCCTCCTGGGTTTTATTGCATAGTGTTAGCAGAACAAATGAAATGAACCACCCTCCTGGCACCAGGCCAGGAAAATTTCCCAGGATGTCTCCAGGAGCAGGGATCCTCCCTACAAGGGGGTTGTTAGACCTGGAAAGAACTTCTGATGTGTGAATGCCACACTGATTCCAAGGCAGCTTCTAAGGCTGCTGCATTCCTTCCATCATGAACTTCTGCTTCCGTTTTCTGTAACTTCTTTGAAGCTGGCATGTGGGCATCGAGGGGGATTTGGGTATTTCCTCTTGTTATCTGTCTTATGGTGTGTGACAGTGGCCTTGGAAAGACTGGTGCTCAGTCCAGAGGGCTGCTCGGGTCGTCCAGTGGAATGGGCTGGAAGCCTTGCCTGATGACCATTTGGAGTTCAACAGCTTTTAGTCTGTTAGAGACAAAACGAACAAGGACATTAAAAACACACGGTCCAAAGAGAAGCATCAAGATTACAGAATTTATTGGGCCAAGGAGAGGAAATAGCCAGGATTTCCATGACCAGATGTCAGGCCAGAAATCCCAGCCCTGCTTGGCCTGGTCCTGGAGGTGCTTGGCTTTGTCCAGGAAAAGTATGAATTTGGGTTTGTACCTGTTTAGTCTGATTGACCCAGAGACAACATTCTTCCTGGAACATGGCACAGATACCTCCTGGAGCAGCAGTTAGCATGTCCAACATTTCTTTCTTTCATAACCTTTTGTGACTTCCGCACACCTTCTTCAACTTACTTGAAACATTCCTTCATTTCCATTCCAGTCTAGAATAAACTAGCCATCAGGATAAAGTCATTCTCTTACAAACCATGTCCTTTCCTTAAAAAAAAAAAAAAAAAACTCTTTCCTTCTTAACCTTTTTTACCAAGCACACATTTCTATACTTGTGATGTTTTCCATAGAGCCTGGTTGACTCTTTCTACCTTCAGGAAGACTGAGGTCTCCATGCAGAGTGAAGGGGCCAGGTTATTCCTAGGGCCTTACAAATCCCTTGTGTATCCTGGGAGATCAGGGAAGGCCCATCGTCGCTTTGTAAAGATTTTGGAAGACCAAAGCGTGGGATAACTTCCTTCAGGAGAGTTTTGGTCACTTCCTGAGCTCTTTTAGTTCTGGTTGGGAAGGCTTCTACCCACCCAGTAAAGGTGCCTATAAGTACAAGCAGGTAGGTACCTATAGCATTGACAGAGGCTGTGTAAAATCTGTTGCCAGCCTTCCTTGGGGTAAGTTCCCTTTTCCTGTATAGATCCCTAGGAGTTATTTTCTCTTCTCCTTACCTAGTTCTAGAGCTCTGGTTAAGTGATCAGTTCTGTTAACTGAGTGAACTTCCTGGGGGCAGAGCACGCTTCAATAACGTGCCATGCCATAACTGTTGCATGCTCTGAGAAGCAGGTCCCGTCTGACAAAACTGCTTCTGTCTGTGAACCAAACCTCATCTGCGTTAGTCAGAGGGCTGTCTCTTGGGTCCCTTCTGCTGGCATAGATCAAGTCTATAGTCTCAGTACAGGAGAGGAGGGGACCACTTTCCCCTGGAACTGGCATTAAAGTAGCTGGGTTTAGAGTAGAGCAATGCCTTATTTTTACCTGAGGGTTTTTCAGAAGGAGGACCTGATATTTTAGTATTCTGCTATCTGTGAGCCAGTGGGAGCCCTTTTGCTCTAATAGAGAATTTATTTGATGTGGGGTATAAAGGGTGATATCTTGTCCCACTGTAATTCCAGATACCTCCTCTGTCAGCAAGGCAGCTGCTGCCATTGTCTTTAGGCAGTGAGGCCATCCTTGTGCAACCATGTCTAAGGTTTTAGAAAAGTAGCCCACAGGTTGCTTAACAGGTCCCAGATCCTGAGATAAATTTGAGCTGGAAGACACCTTCATTGTGCTCCTCTGTGATCTCATGCCCCTACCCGACCACACCTGCATGCTCACCTGCCAATCAGACTAATTAACCACACCCCTTTGGAAGTAGATAAAAGGCCTAGAACATGCTGGGCCCAGTTTTTTCTCCCTTTTTGTCCTTTTTATTTTCCTTGATGCCCTTGATCCCTTTGTTGCCCCCACACCTTTGGGGCACATGACCCTCGGGCCACCCTTGCTGTCTGCCCTGGCTTTGCTACCTGTGTTAAGCTGCTTGTAGCTGCTCATAACCAAATGCTTGCTGCAAGTGGCTCCTGGCCTGCTCTCTGCAGGTGACTCCCTGCCTCCCAGTAATCAACAGCTAGGAGGGTCTCCCTGGATTTGGCAGTCCTAGCACAGGGGCTTTAGTCATAGCTTCCTTTAGCTGAGCAAAGGCTGTGGTTTGCTCTTTCCCCCAAAGGAAGGGGCTCTGCTTTGCTTGGTCTGCCTGTTGAGATCCTGGTTTAGGAACTGTGCTGTTTCCCTGTATCTAGGAACCTGACAGAGAAAACTGGGACTGCCTGAAGTTTGCAGAAGTAGGAATTTGCTGCATGGCCCATATCCTCTCTGGGGCAGGTTTTCTCTCCCCAGGGGTGAGGATAAGGGTTAAATAATTAACACTCTAATGGACTAGCAATGCTTTGTTTTCCTCTGGATACCTAGTAGCTAGTTTTGCTAGGAAGTTAAGCCAATGCACAAGGCTAGAGTCTCAGGCTGGGAAAGGAGACAGACTAACAAATCATTTACATTTAACCATCTACATTATGGACTATTGTGCACCCCCCACAAGAGATAGGCCCTTTAAGTCCTCAATGAGGACCTGTCCAAATAGGCGCAGGACTATCTGAGTTAGCTGTTACTGAAAGCCCCGTTTTTAGGAACTGGCAGGGAGGGCTTTCTAAGCTTAATGTTATTGGATAGACTTTTAAGGCCTGGCTGGGTGTGTGAGGCCCAGACCTATCCATGGGGTGCTGGAAAAAAATTGCAAGAGATGCAAATCTCCTTTAAGGGAGGCACCCTGTTGACTTGCATTGCATGGCTGGACTAGGAGGAGAGCTGAATAGGAGGCTAATAGAAATAGGCAACTTACGTTTCACTGACCCTAGGCCAACCCCTCAATAGCAGTGGCTGGAGCTGGAAGCTGGGCAGAGCCAAAGGCTTTTTAGCTCGAGGCCACAGGGTCTGCGGTTCTGAACCAGGAGTCTTTCAATACCCAGAGCAGTTCCGTGTATAGTGGCCGTGCTCTTGGCAGAGCTGACAGAAGGCAGTTTCTCTCATGACAGCTGCTTGCCCAATGCCCTGGCTTCTTATATCAGCAACAGGTGCCGTTTGGGGTGCATTGGCCTTGCTGGGTCTCCTTGACGGCAGATCACTGTGTAAAGCAGCCATTGATTGGCCTGTTCCCAATAGTGTCAGTTCTTTGTAATTTTAGCAGAACACAAAATCCATAGAGGAGCCATACTTAATTGAATGCAGTATTCTACTTGGGTTAACAAAAAATATTTTTAACCAAATTTTATAATAAATATTATTTTCTATTCCCAGCATACAGATTTCTGTGTTCCTTTTAAAAAATAAATTACATTTATTGTGCTGATGATTTTAAAGTAATATTCAATCAGTTCTATCAATTTCCAAAGTTATTTAAAGTCATGAATCTGATATAGTTGTACCATGTAGTCCTTGTATTGGTATTTCTAGAAAAACTTATCTCTTGCTATATGTGCTTGAATTCCTTTTTTAAAGATGAAAACAATTCAGAGGAATTGAGTGTTCAGAGTAAAGCACAACTGCAGATAATTGTGGAGTGCAGAGGGAGATCATTTCGGTTGGCTTGAGGTACTCAGTTAGCTCACTTTGTAGGGAAGCTACCCTCAGAGGTGTCAGGTCTCAGTGTTTCATCTCCCCAGTATATAGTTTCAGAAAGTATGTCATCATTGTATTGTCACTCAAGAGACAAACAGGAAATATTTGAATAAAATGGAATAAGGCATTTCCTCATTAACCATTTAAGTATTCGGGTAATCAGGTAGTAAATGCCAGTGCCGTGGCTCAATAGGCTAATCCTCCACCTGCAGCGCTGGCACACTGGATTCTAGTCCCGGTTGGAGCGCTGCATTCTGTCCTGGTTGCCCTTCTTCCAGGCCAGCTCTCTGCTGTGGCCTGGGAGGGCAGTGGAGGATGGCCCAAGTGCTTGGGCCCTGCACCCCATGGGAGACCAGGAGAAGCACCTGGCTCCTTGCTTCGGATCAGTGCAATGCACTAGCCATAGCACGCTGGCTGTGGTGGCCATTGGAGTGTGAACCAATGGCAAAGGAAGACCTTTCCTCTCTGTCTCTCTCTCTCTCTCTCTCTCTCATTGTCCACTCTGTCCAAAAAAAAAAAAATCAGGTAGTAAAGCAGATCTCATATTGTTATTCAAGCAGTAAAGGTATCTCTTTTAAAAAGTACTGGGAAGTTATCTTTACAAGTTTGACAACTTCAGATTGGTCTTTCTACTAACTAGGATTATAATTAATCTCTCTACACATGGATAATGGAAATGGAGGGACTGAGGCAACTATGTAGAGTCACACAATCAGATGGATCCAGGTTAGTTAAAAGAAATAGCAACCAAGGTGGAAGGGGAAGATGGATAAAACTCTGATAGCCACACCAAACAGGAAGTGAGGTTAGGAGCTTGCTCAGCATTTTGACTTCATGGCTCAAACATTTCTGTTGCACAATGTAATAATAAAGTGTTTTTTATTATTTCTATTTTTTAAACTTTTATTTAATGAATATAAATTTCCAAAGTACAGCTTATGGATTACAATGGCTTCCCCCCCACCGATAAATTCCCTCCCACCCGCAACCCTCCCCTTTCCCTCTCCCTCCCCCCTTCCATTCACATCAAGATTCATTTTCAATTATCTTTATATACAGAAGATCAGTTTAGCATATATTAAGTAAAGATTTCAACAGTTTGCACCCACATAGAAACACAAAGTGAAAAATACTGTTTGGAGTACTAGTTATACATTAAATCACAATGTACAGCACATTAAGGACAGAGATCCTGCATGAGGAGTAAGTGCACAGTGACTCCTGTTGTTGACTTAACAAATTGACACTCTTGTTTATGGCATCAGTAATCACCCTAGGCTCTTGTCATGAATTGCCAAGGCTATGGAAGCCTTTTGAGTTCACCAACTCTGATCATATTTAGACAGGGTCATAGTCAAAGTGGAAGTTCTCTCCTCTCTTCAGAGAAAGGTACCTCCTTTGATGACCTGTTCTTTTCACTGCGATCTCACTCACCGAGATCTTTCATGCAGGGTATTTTTTTTTTTTTGCCAGAGTGTTTTGGCTTTCCATGCCTGAAATACTCTCATGGTCTTTTCAGCCAGATCCGCATGCCTTAACAGCTGATTCTGAGGCCAGAGTGCTGTTTAGGACATCTGCCATTCTATGGGTCTGCTGTGTATCTCACTTCCCATGTTGGATCGTTCTCTCCCTTTTTGATTCTATCAGCTAGTATTTGCAGACACTAGTCTTGGTTATGTGCTCCCTTTGGCTATTAGTCCTATCATTATGATCAATTGCGAACAGAAATTGATCACTGGGACTAGTGAGATGGCATTGGTACATGCCACCTTGATGGGATTGAATTGGAATCCCCTGGTATGTTTCTAACTCTACCGTTTGAGGTAAGTCAGCTTGAGCATGTCCCGAATTGCACATCTCTTCCCTCTTATTCCCACTCTTCTATTTAACAGCAATCACTTTTCAGTGAAGTTTCAACACTTGAGAATAACTGTATATTGATTACAGTATTCAACCAAAAGTATTAAGTAGAATAAACAAAAAAAATACTAAGAGGGATAACATATTAATTTGTTCATCAACAGTCAGGGCAAGGGCTGATCAAGTCACTGTTTCTCATAGTGTTCATTTCACTTTAACAGTTTTCCTTTTTGGTGTTCAGTTAGTTGTCACGGATCAGGGAGAACATATGGTATTTGTCCCTTTGGGACTGTTTTATTTCACTCAACATAATGCTTTCCAGATTCCTAACAGGTATCACTTTTCAGTTAAAATTTAAACACCTAAGAATAATTGTGTGTCAATTACAGAGTTCAACCAATAGTACTAGAACAAAAAAAATACTAAAATGGATAAAGTATCACATTGCACATCAACAGTCAGGACAAGAGCTGATCAGGTCACTGTTTCTCATGTGTCAATTTCACTTCAACAGGTTTCCCTTTTGGTGCTCAGTAATAAAGTGTTTTTTTATTAAAAAATTTATTTTTTTGAAAGGCAGAGTGAACAGAGAAGGAGACAGAGAGAGAGAGAGAGAGAGACAGATCTTTTATCTACTGTTTCACTCCCCAAGTGGCTGCAATGGCCAGGGTTGGGGAAGAATGAAGCAAGGTATCAGTAGCCCCATCCAGGTGTCCCACATGGGAGGCAGAGGCCCAAGTACTTGAGCCATTTTTGGCTGCTTTCCTAGGCATGTTAGCAGGAAGCTGGTTAGGAAAGGGAACAGCTGGGACTCTGATATGGGATGCCAGTATTGCAAACAACCACTTAACCTACTATTTTCAACACCAGCCTCAAGTGTCAGTTCTTGAAAACTATCGTTTCAACTGTTTGATTTTATGTTTTGTGTGTTTTTTTTTTCTTAAACTATAAAATACAAAAATAAAAGATACAAATTCAGATTATATATGAATCATTTTTTATTCAAACTTGTCTCCATTAGTATATTTTAATTAAAATTATAAAGCCAAGATTCAGAGAAAGCACTTAGAAAATACTATAAATTCATGTGTAGCTAGGGAGCATCCCTTTCTTTTTGTCCTTGAAGGCTGTCCATGGCCTTGTCCATGTTTAGACTTAGACCCCAAGCCTCCTCTCCATACATGTTCTGAAAAAGAACATAGCATGTAAAGTAGTCAGTCTTATTTTTAAAGCCACTAAATTGCTTAATACAAAATCTTGAGTGGCTTGAATAATTTTTTACTGTGTGTCTTCATAAGGTGCAACATGATCTCATGTCCACGTCTTTCAATCCAGTCTGTAAAGCAGTTCATAACATAGCAAGAGGAGAAGCAAAGTACAGCTCAGAGAAGCTTGTACAGTGCTATTTGTTCCCTAGAATCTGTAATTAGAATTTTGACTTTGTAAAATGTACATTGATTATTATGTTCCAGGCTCATCTTTTGAATGAGGAGAACAGAGTGGTGAGTGACATGGCCAAGGTCCTCCTATCACAGAATGTCTTTTCTTCCTGTGGTGGAGGAACAGGGTTGAGATGCACAGAAAGAGAATGGTAACTGTTAAAGGTGACAGTTACTCTGAAAGAATAAAGCAGGGTAGGAGGATACTTAGAATTTGCTAGGGATGGCCAGCTTAGGACTTGTGATCAGAGATCGCATCTCTGAACAAATTGTATTTGAGCCGAGATGTGAAAATGTAGGAGGAGATTGTTTCTGGCAGAGGGAATTGGGAATGTGGAATCTCTTAATGAAAATGAGCCAATGTTGAAAGAAACCAAAGGAAGATAGGTGTGACCACAGCCAGGTGATTTAAAGTGGGAAATCTGAGAAGAGGTCAGAGGCTAGATGGAGTCTTACTGCAGTGAGAAGTTTGCATTTTATTTCCATTGCAATTGGAAGCTACTGGAGAATAGTAAGCAGGGGTATCTTACCTAAAAAGATAATCTAGCTGCTGCAGTGGGATGAAGGTGAATGTGAGAACAGAACATGGAAAAGTGCCTAGGATCATATAGACAGTCTTCCAAGTCAAGTAGTGTTCATGACTTAAAGACTAGGAGTAGAGAAATGAAGGTTATAAAACTGATAGTTTTAAATACTAATTGGAGGATCATTAGATGTAACAGTCCTATGTTCATTAGTTTTATTCCATGTTATTGCTATTTCAAGTATTTTTGCCTCCTACATACAGTCTCTTGTTTAATTTTTCTCTTTGAATCTACTATCTTTTCACATCCAGTCCTCTCCATGTATTGTAATCACACTTCTCCCTGCACATTTACAGTCTTACTACTGGCAAGAACATTCTCTGACTCCCCATGGCTGGCAGACACATGAGTCTTAAAACATACTTAGTTCCCTTTTAGACCAGTGGTCCAGGCATTATTCCATAGGCAAGTTTTATGCTTTTCTTTTTCAGTGCTTTCGAATAGTCCATACTCTGCTCTGCTTGGCTCCACTGCTCTCTGTTGGATTCCTGACAATTCATTCTTCAAGGACTGAGTTCATCACCATGAAGTATTTTCTAGTCTTGATAATTAAAAGTGATTTTTGCTTATCTGGAGTTCAATGGCATTTTCTTAATGACTTTAAAATGATAGCATTTAGGGATTTATTTGGTCATGGGTTCATCTAGGTTCATCTGTCAATGTATTCAGAACATTTATGCTAATATCTTCAGGTTAGGAGTCACTGGAGATGTGAAGATAAATACCACATGGACCTTTAAGAACTCCAAAGTCTAGTAGAGAAAGCAGGAGGAAAAAAAAAACTTAAAATTCTGAATAATTTGTGCTTTTACAGATAGGACATGGGTACTTTAGAAGCTCACATAAAGCAGCTGTTGTGGCCCCTCAGATTAATCCATTGCTTCCAATCCAGCTCCCTGCTCATGTGGCTGCAAAAGTGGCAGAGGATGACCCAAAGGCTTGGGCCCCTGCACTCATGTGGGAGAACTGTATGGAGTTCTTGGTTCCTGGCTTTGGACTGGACCGGACCTGTTTCACCACTTGGGGAGTGAACCAGCAGATTGAAGATCCCTCTCCCTCACTCTCCCCCTCCCCCCAAAGATCAGGAGCATCAGAACCCTGCAACTGTTTGTTCTGCAGCAAATAAACCTTTATTTTCACTGAGATACTCAAAAATTTTAAAGGTTTTTAAAATGCTCATAAATTAGTATAAATGTATGCTTAGAATTCGTGAGCTTATATGGAACACAAATGGCAAAACACACTAAAACATGAGTGCAGTAATAATTATTTTGTTTTTACCTTATATATCAAACAAGGAAAGATTACAGGCCATTTGACAAGAGAAATTGTTTCTCGTATTCCTGAAAATCTGTTTCTCTCCCTCTTTAATATTTAAAAAGCACACACACAGGTTGCCGATGACTCAGAGAGCAGCTTGTGTCATAGTTTTCACTTTCTCAGCTGTGAACAAGTGCCTATGTGAGGGCTGGTCGTGCATTTTATTTAAATAAAAACTGGGCTTGAGGGAAACTGTAAAAGATACCAACATTTAAGACATTTTAATTTTGTAAAGTGGGACAGTCAATGGACCAAAGTATTGGAAGTGTTTCTTCCAAAATGAGAGTTAAGAAGGTGATAGTCTTTAAAGAAAAAAAAGCAAAACAAAACATAGGATGTTAATGTCACCTGTGGTAAATTACTTCTGTACACACAAATAAAAAAATTTCAAAAGTAGTTCAGTTTCCAGCCACATACTAGAGTGTAACATAATTGCAATTGAACAAAAACACAGCTAAAATTTACCTACTATAAAAATCATAGTTTCCTTAGAGAGAAAGGAAATAAAGCTAAATATATTTAGCATAGGTCAAATGTAAAAGTCCAACATGAATAAAAAAGAAAACACAGAAATATATATATCTACTATCCAACAATACAAAAAGGAATTATATATAATGCTGTCCCCATTACAGTTGCCATTAGCATTTGAATATGCTTATTATGAATGAAGACTCAATTTTAAACTTAATTTATACTTAGTTTAAATAGTCAAATATAGCTTGTGTATATCAAGCCGGACAGCACACATCTATAGTTTAATAAAGAGAATTTTAGCAGTTATTAATAAATCCAAATTTATCAATTGGCAGTACTAAATGATCAGTTTGGTTAAATACATTATGTCTGACATTTGGCCCACATATAATCCTCAATCAAAATTAAGCATTAAAATGAGAATGTTCCATCTTTAAAAATCTAACCATGTCATGGAGATTCTCATAGCAAACAGAAAATAATTGACAAATGTACTACCCAAAATATCAGCTACAATAACTAAAAACTCAAAAGACATAAAACTGACGATAGTGGCTAACATTTCCAACAATCAGATAAACGTTTAAATATGGTCAGTTAAAATGCTAAAAGTAGGTTATAGAATTGGAATCATTTAATTTGACAGAGCACATTTGAAGAAAAGATGAGACTATTTGGCAATAGCTTATAAATATGTTAATTTGCAGTGTCTTGGCTTCCCATGCCTGAAATGCTCTCAGGGACTTTTCAGCCATTCTAATGAAGAAAAGAATACACAAACTATAGAGCATTTTACCTGCTGCACCACAATGCCCTTCATGCTTTTTTCTTTGAAAAAATGGGAGTCTGGGTATTGTAGTAGAGCACTTATGCCACCACTTGGGATGCTCACCTCCTGTATTAGAGTGTGGGTTTGATTCTTGTCTACACTCTTTCTGCTCCAGCTTTCTGCTAGTATACATCATGGGAGGCAGGAGATGATGGCTCAAGTACTTGAGTCCATGACACTCATGTGGAGACCTGGAAGGAGTTTCAAACTCCAGGCCCTGGAGCTCTAGCTGTTGGAGGCCATTTGGGGAGTGAATCAGCAGACAGGAGGCCTCTCTTTCGTGTCTCTTTCTTACTGTTCGGCTTTTCAAGTAGATGAACATAAACAAGCCTTTTTAATAGTAGAGAAATATCTAATCCAAATATTCATCCAGTGCCTAGCTGCAGTACAAAGCTGAGTGCTTTTCAGCACTCATTTGTTTTCTATGTTCTTTTCTCTACCATGTTTCTCATAAAACGGTGTGTTTTCTTCTCCTCTGGTGATATTTTGGCTTTAAAGATGGCAAAACTGCCTTAGACCAGCTGCTTGTAGGTGAAGGAGAGAGACCACTGTCTGTCCTCCAAGCAGGACTTCCATAGGAGCAGGATTTGCACTGATAGTCTTGTCATGTTTATTCTTCTCAGGACAAAGGTGACAGACATCTGTTGCATTTTATAAAGGAAAAATCTCTTCTTCCCCCACAACAAATGGTGAAAGCTTCCTCAATATTTCTAAGGACACCTGACATCTTCAGCTTTTCAAAACAATAACTGATACAGGAGAGTCCCAGTCTATCACCCTGGGTCCCCTCTTACTATGAGCTTAAGGGATTTGGATCTGCTACCACTGCTGTTCACCTTCATTCAAAGTATATTCTGACTCATTCTGGGGTCAATACCGTGGTATTCTCTCAGTTTCTGACACAGACACTCCTGCTTCATTATTCATTGTTCTGAAGGATTTTGATTTCTGTGTTGAAGTTTCAGTTGTCTCCTACTTCACAGAAAACTGAGTGTCCTATGCATTTGTTATCTTTTTTATTTTCAAAATTACTGTAAAACAACCAAGAATATGAACTTTAAGTATTCCCAAATAAATCTCAGCCCTTCTACGTTAAGTCATAGGTTCCCATTGCCTTGAGAACCAGAACTTTCTGGTTCCCTTGGTGAGTCTAAAAATCATCCTTTTCCATGTGATTTGGCTTAGCATCCTGAATTTCATGTCACAATACAAAGGCTTGCTCCTGGACTTCTTAGTGTAAATTTCTTAATTTTTTTTTACTTGAGAGAATATGTACATAATAATAATAAAGAAACAAATAATAAAAGAGAAAGTAAGAGAAGGTAGTCACACAGAGAAACAGCTCTCATCTACTGATTCACTCCTTAAATGCTTTCAAAAGATTACTTATTTATTTATTTATGAGACAGAGATGACTCCCATCAAGTTTCACTCCTCAAATGCATGCAGCTGAAAGCCTTCACCTAGCCAACAGAATGAGATCTCATCTGGGCAGCTAGAAAAAGACCAGGACACATGAGCTGCCCAGTTAGGAAAAAATGAAAGAATAAGTATTTTAACTCATGAAGGAAAATAGGATATGAAAGTGGACAGCAGAACAATTTAGGATTTGTAGAATGTATCTAAAATAGAAAAAAGCCCTAGTATGGTGCTAAAACAATTGGATTTTGGTAAGTCTAAGAAAATGCTCAACTACATCAAAGATGATGTATAAACACACAAGAATGTTCCCTGGGGGCTGTGGAATGCCTGTGTCTGATGCATGAAACCAGCTGTACTTGGGACTGGGACCTGAGTGAAAAGAGCACTACACATGAACACCTGCTAACTTCTTCCAGTCCCAATCTCCAAGCCCATTATGTGCTGACTGACCTGAAAGTTTCTGATTTAGGACTTCTCCTAGCATCCATGGCTCTGTTCTTTGCTCCAACTTGAAGATCACCTCAGGTTTGGTAACACACAATCCTGTTAATGGAAATTGATGTAGGATTTTGTTAAATCACTAGGTCAGGTTTCTTGAAAGACAACAGCTTTACATCAAGACCTGTGTGAGAAAAGAGCCAATTTGAATCCCTTGCTATAGGATGTGGATACCCACATTCTGTAGGGACTCAAATTATACACCTAAGTAGCAATGTACCTTATAAATCATATATTTATATATTTGTCAAATGGGAAAAAAGTGGTCCAACTCTGTGTGACTGAAGTTTCACTCACCCAATGACAGCAGGCTGCTGTAGGTCTCCAGCATCACATCCCTGTACAGGATTCTTTGAGCATTGTCCAGGCCCTGCCACTCCTTCCAGATGAAGTTCATAGCCAGGTCTTCAAATGACACCAGTGCTTAAAACAGTACATCTCTTGTCAACATATCAGTTCTGGATCACAAAAGAGGACTGGGAATGCATTCTTCTTTATGTGTCTTATATGCCTCTTACATGTAGCCTACTTTATATACTATATAGCAACAGAAAGCAAAACCACAATGAAAATAATTTGACTCTACTAGTTTTATAAATCTAATACCACTATAATAGAAACTTTCTTATATATCTGGAAAGAATTTCTGCCTAATAATTCTGGAAGTAGCTGACAATGTAATCTGTAGGCCCAAGTATAAACACGTACCTGAAACAACATGTTAGATGAACAAAGAGAAACATATGTTCAATGTACATCAGGGTAATTAATTTTGCTTTAAAAATACCATATGTTTTCCCTGATCTGTGGTAACTAATAGAGTACCTATAAGGTAATCTATCATAGTAAAATTGACACTTTGAGGTTTGGTGATTGTTTACAGCCTTTGTTTCTACTGTTGAGGAACACTCTTCATACTATGAAAAAACAGTGTAAGGTGAATCTTATCAATATAAGGTAAATGAAAGCAGATCTCTGTAAAAATTAAGAATGTGCACAGGAGAGGGAGAAGGAAAAATGGGAGCATTGGCAGGAGGGAGTGTGGAATGGGAAGTATCACTATGTTGCTGAATCTGCATATAGAAAATACATGAAATTTGCATACCTTAAATAAAAATTTTAAAAAAATATTAAAAGTAAAGAAAGAAGGAAGTTGTAAAAAAGTATGTACAGTAGGATTTAGTTGCGGGAAAAATATTTAATTATTTATAAAAAGTCTCAAAGCTGGTTCTGAGAGGTATTAATAACTATTATCTCTTTTTAAAATGAATAAATGTTGAAGGAATGCAAAAAGAAAAAAGAAACAAAATAGTATGATTTCAGGGGGCCAAACATCTAAAAAGAAAATTATCAAATAAGCAACCTAACTACTCATCACAAGGACCTAGAAAAATAAGAATGAGCCAGAACCAATGGCAGTAGAAAAAAGTTAATAAAGATCAGAGCAGAAGTAAGAAAATCTTAAGCAATTTTAAAATCAATAAAATCAACAGTTGGTTATTTAGAAAGCAAAATAATTCTTTAGCTACACTAAGAAAATAAGTAAAAGATTCAAAGAAAAAAAGAAGAGATTACCACACAAACACAACAGATCACTAGAGACTATTAAGAAAACTACATTAGCAAACTGAAACATAGAATAAATGTCTAATTTCTGGATACATACAGCTTACCAAAACTGAACCAAAAAGGCACAGAACACATGAATGGGTCAATAATGAATAACAGAAATCAAAGTCTCCAAATTAAAGGTCAGGACCAGATGGTTTTACTACCAATCCCTCTACGAAATTTTAAAAATGAAATAGCACAACCCCTCTCAAGCAATTCCAGAGTCAAAATGCAGGGAGTCTTCCCAAACACTTTGAAGCCAGCATTTCAATACCGAAAAGAAATGGGCAGGGATCTGCATAGACATGTTCCAGAAAAATAAATATAGATGGTCAGAATACATGAGAAAATAATCTATGTCTCTAGCCATTAAGTAAACACAAATCAAAAGATAACATCAGGGCCAGCACTGTGGCATAGTGATTAAAGCCACCACCTGCAGTGCTGGAATCCCATATGGTTAGTGATTCCAGTCCTGGCTTTTCCAGTTCTCTGCTATGGCCTGGGAAAGCAGAGGAAGATGGCCCAAGTGCTTGGGCCCTTGTACCCACATGGAAGACCCAGAAGAAGCTTCTGGCTCCTAGCTTTGGATAGGCCCAGCTCCGGCCATTGCGGCCAATTGGAGAGTGAACCAGCAGATGGAAGACCTCTCTCTCTCTCTCTCTCTCTCTCTGCCTCTTCTTCTCTCTCTGTGTAACTCTGACTTTCAAATAAATAAATCTTTTTTTTAAATATTTATTTTATTTACTTGAAAGTTACAGAGAGAGTCAGAGCCAGAGAGAGAAAGGTCTTCCACTCATTCACTCCCCAGATGGTTACAATGGCCAGAGCTAAGCTGATCTGAAGCCAGGAGACTGGAGAGCCTTGCAGGTCTTCCACATGGGTGCAGGGTCCAAAGGACTTGGGCCATCTCCCACTACTTTCCTAGGCCATAGCAGAGAGCTGGATAGGAAGTGAAGCTGCCAGGTCTCGAACTGGTGCCCATACGGGATGCCCGCACTGCAGACTGGGGCTTTAACCCACTGTGCCACAGTGCCAGACCCAGCAAATAAATAAATATTTAAAAAAATCCACTGCCTACAGTGCTGGTATCCCATAGTGGGGCAGGTTCCAGTCCTGGCTGCTCCACTTCCAATCCAGCTCTCTGCTATGGCCTGGAAAAGCAGTAGAAGATGGCGCAAATCCTTGGGCCCCCGTTGGGCCCCCGCACCTGCATGGGAGATTGGAGAGAGTACTGGCTCAGATCAGCCCAGCTCCAGCCATTACAGCCACCTGGGGAGTGAACCTGAGGATGGAAGACCTCAGCATCTCTGTAACTCTGCCTTTCAATATAAATAAATAAATCTTTTAAAAAATAATCTTACTCTAAAAAGATTTTAAAAATGATGATGATATGAAGAAAAATGTATACACTGTGGATGAAAATGCAAATTAACATAAGCAATATGGAGAAAAGAATGGTCACTCTAAAAGAATTAAAATAAAAAGTATCTCCAGGGACCAGCGCTGTGGTGCAGTGAGTTAACACTCTGGCCTGAAGTGCTGGCATCCCATATGGGCACCGGTTCAAGAGCCCGTTGCTCCACTTTCAATCCAGCTCTCTGCTATAGCCTGGGAAAGCAGTGAAACATGGCCCAAATCCTTGGGACCATGCACCCACGTGGGAGACCCAGAAGAAGCTCCTGGCTCCTGACTTCGGATTGGCGCAGCTCCAGCCCTTGTGGCCAACTGGGGAGTGAACCAGCGGATGGAAGACCTCTCTCTTTCTCTCTGCCTCTCCTTTCTCTGTGTAACTCTGACTTTCAAATAAATAAAAAAATTATCTTAAAAAATTATCTCCATATGGCAGAGCTATCTTACTCCTGAATAAATATTTCAGAAGAAAATTAAATTAGCATATTAAAGTCATAGTCTTTTTCCCACTGCAGTACAGGACACAGTAGCCACGACACAGAATCAATCTAGGTGTCTATTAGTGAAAGAACTGATAAGAGAATATCATTCACACATTAAAAAAAAAAAAAAGAACAGAGGGGCCGGCACTGTAGCATAGTGGGTGAAGCACCATATTTTGTGCTATGTAAAGAACTGGAGGAGAGGAGCTGGCAGGCTCAAAACACAAAAGAAAAAAAATGGAAAGACTGGATCAGTTTATGCTGTGTGTTTGTTCAAATACTGCATTGTCACTGGCATTATGGCACAATGGGTGAGGCCACTGCCGATGACTCCAGCATCACATGTAAGTGCCAGTGTGAAGCCAAGCTGGTTCACTTCTGATCCATTTCTCTGCTAATGTGTCTGGGAAAGCAGCAGAAGACTGTCAAGTACTTTGGTCTCTGCTACATGTGTGGGAAACCAAGATGGAACACTTGGCTTTTGGTTTCAACATGGCCATTGCGGCCATTTGGGGAGTGAACCAGTGGATAGTAGATTTCTCTTTCTGTCTCTCCCTCTCTGTTTACATATGACTTTCAAATAAATAAAATATTTTTTTTAAAATTGTACTGTGTACAAGTAGTACAAGTAGTGCATGTTTATAAAAAATGTTTAAATAAGATTTTAAAAAATAGAAACATCTCTATCCAATAACAATGAACTATCTAAAAAAGAAATTAGGAGGGGCCAGTGCTGTGGCATAACAAGTAAAGCTGTCACCTGCAGTACTGGCATCCCATATGGGCACCAGTTCGAGTCCCGGCTGTTCTACTTCTGATCCAGTTCTCTGCTATAGCCTGGGAAAGCAGTAGAAGATGACCCAAGTCCTTGGCCCCCTGCATCCTCATGGGAGGCCCACATAAAGCTTCTGGTTCCTGGCTTTGGTCTGGCCGCATTCTGGCCATTGTAGCCATCTAGGATGTAAACCAGCAGATGGAAGAGCTCTCTCTGTTACTCTTTCAAATAAATAAATAAATCTTATAAAAAAGAACTAAATGAGAGTACTATAAATTATTTACTTTATTCCTACAAGATCTAATAAATAAGCTTTTATTCATAACAATAATATAATTTACTGGGTCATTACAGCTTCTAATAGCTAAAGGAAATTATATAGGGGCTGGCCCTGTGCTGTAGTGGGTTAGGCTGTTGCCTGCAGAGCCAGTATCCCATATGGGCACTGTTCAAGTCCCAGCTGCTCCATTTCTGATCCAGTTCCTCCCAAAGTACCTGGGAAAGCAGTGGAGGATGTTCCAAGTGCTTGGGATCTGGAACCCACATGGGAGACCCAGAAGAAGCTCCTGGCTCCTGGCTTTGGATCTGCCCAGCTCTTGACATTGCAGCCATTGGGTAGTGAACCAGCAGATGGAAGATCTCTCTCTCTCTTTCTCTCTCTCTCTCTCTCTCTGTGTGTGTGTGTGTGTCTCTTTGTATCTCTGCCTTTCAAATAAATAAATATTTTTTAAATAGAAACTGTATTAAAGATAATAGGGCAAAGGAATTGAGGACATTTTAACTTTAGTACTCAAGAAATAATACACTATTATTTGAAGGTGAGTTTACATCAGTTAGAAATACATATTGTAGGGACCAGCACTGTGGTACAGTGGGTTAACACCCTGGCCTGAAGCTCTAGCATCCCATATGGGCACTGGTTCAAGTCCCACCTGTTCCACTTCCAATTCAGCTCTCCGCTATGGCCTGAGAAAGCAGTGGAAGATGGCACAAGTCCTTGGGCCCCTGCACCCATGTGGGAGACCCAGAAGCTCCTGGCTCCTGGCTTCAGATCAGCACAGCTCTGGCCATTGCAGCCAACTGGGGAGTGAACCTTCAGATGGAAGACCTCTCTCTCTTTCTATCTCTGCCTCTCCTCTCTATGTGTCTAACTCTGATTTCCAAATAGATAAATAAACCTTTACAAAAAGAAACATATATTGTATACTCAAGGGAAATTACCAAAACAAAAATTTAGGAAACCCATCTCCCATGATACCTTAATGGAGGAGACAAAATGGAATCCTATAGAAAGCTCAATTAAAATGAGAGGATTAGGCATGCCATAGTGATTAACATGGTACTTGAAATGCCCTCATCCCATACTGGAGTGCTTGTGTTTGAGTCCTGGCTTCACTCCCAATTCCAGCTTCATGCTAACCCACCCTCTGTGGGAAGCAGGAGATGGCTCAAGTAGTATTTTGATCCCTGTCAACTCAACCTGAGATCCAGATTGAAATCCTGGCTTGGTCAGGACCAGCCCAAATTATTGCAGCACTGGAGAGTAAACCTGCAGATCATAGATCACTCTGTTCACTAACTACCCACAGGTAGTTTCAAAATTCTGGACATGGAAAAGTGTAAAAGTTTTCTTGAGAAGACATCACTCTAAATTTTCCAAGAACCTCAAATCTATGACATTCTGATAAGATGTCTTATCTTTAGGTAGGTAAACAGAGATGTGCAAAGACTTTTTAGAATTTATTTATTTTTGTTTGAAATGCACAGACAGAGAGGTTTCCCATCTGTTGGTTCACTCCTGCAAACACCTGAAATGGCCAAACATGGAGCAGGCTGAAGACAGGAGACCAAATCCAAATCTGCATGTTCCATGCTGGCAACAAGGACCCAACAACTTGAGCCGCCATCATCTATGATCTCCCAGGGAGTAGACTAGCATGAAACTGAATCTGAAGCACAGGAAGGACTCCAACCCCAGTACTCTGATATGGGCTGTGGCCATCCCACGCAGCATCTTCATCAAACACCTTCTACCCCAAACATCCAGTCCAGCACAATATTTTTTTTTAAAACCCTAGAGTGTCTGGTAGGTATAGTCTGCCACTCTATCCTATGAAATACAAATCAAGGGGAAATATTTTGTACTGTTCTAAATTTCAGCGAGGAAGCTGGCATTCAGCAAGGTAGCAGAGGTAAAGAATATTTAGGGATTTATTGCCAGGCTTAACCATGTGGATTAAACATGGCTTAATCCCATCTGAAACCCATGGGAAACTAACTGAATTATGAGATTGTAAGTGGGACCAAGTGGGACTTAAGAAGAGGTGATGAGGATAAAGCTGTTCATGTTTAACGGATTAATGCGTTATCTACAGAAAGGTCCGCTTATAGAAGCCCTTTTGCATTGGCCTCTCCTGTGCTCCCTTCACTGGCCACTTGGTCTCTGGGCCATCTCAGGCCTCTGTCAACAGGCCATCACCAGATGCTGCCCTGAAACTTAGACCAAAACCATAAGATGAAGTTATTTATAACTTCAGCTATCTGTAATACTGTGTTATTACAGCAGAACACAGACTCGGGTCCCAAAGGAGGGCTATGCTGAGGACCAGACTGCAGATTGAGACCTTGATTCCCAACGCAGAAATCAGGCCCCTCGAGGAGAAGAGGGTCACAGGACCCCAGAGATCACAGCCCCCCTCCAGCATGAATGCCGCAGGTGCATTCTGCATTTCCTGAGGACACTTCTGTCCTCACCGCACAATCTGAGAAGTGGGGCTATGCACCCCGAGCAGCACGGGGAGCGCTCTGGGTCTGAGCCAAAGTCGCAGCATGAGGAGCAGGACAAAATGGCCAGAGTCCCGGCTGTAGGCCGGGTTTCCATCCCGCTAACCACCGGGAATGGCCCCACACTCTCACCATTTCCCGGCTTTCAAGGAGTCCGGGGCGCTCCGAAGGGCTTCAGTAGTGCTGGCATTCACAGAAAGCGAAAGGAAAGCTAAAGTCTAAGCCACCTGCAGGTTCCCTCAGTGCACAGTAGGGAAGTCCAGCAAGGTGGCCAGAGAGAAGACACCGCCTGGTTACATTGTGTTGCCATGGCCCACCTGAATAGACAGTTCGCACAGCCAGTGAGCACGCATGACATCATAGACGATGCAGCCAATGAGAATCGCCTCTAGCACTGGGGCAGTCATTAGGGGTTGGGCTGTGAACCCTGCAGGTGAGGCCTGGGATCAGGTCTGACTCTGCCTCTCCATCCTCAGGCCTGACTTCTACAGCCAGCAGGGGGCGCTGTCTCCTTCCTGATCCCCCACTTCCTGGGAGCTTGGGACAACCTGCAATAATCACTGATTTGAAGAATATTTCTCTTTTTTTATTTACTTTGTTTTTTTTTATTTTATTTGACAGGTAGAGTTATAAACAGTGAGAGAGACAGAAAGGTCTTTCCTCCATTGGTTCACTCCCCAAATGGCCACCAGGACTGGTGCTGCGCTGATCTAAAGCCAGGAGCCAGGATCTTCTTCCTGGTGTCCCACGTGGGTACAGGAGCCCAAGCACTTGGGCCACAGGAGAGAGCTGGACTGGAAGAGGAGCAACCGGAACTAGAACCCGGCACCCATATGGGATGCTGGCACTGCAGGTGGAGGATTAACCAAGTGAGCCATGGTGCTGTCCCGTCTCGAATTTGAAGAATATTTCAAGATACTACATAGATTAATCCTTTGTTTCATTTCTCTTACAAAAAGTCATGCTGATTTTTAATAAAAAAAAAAATCCTTTCCTAGTCTGTAATTCGTCATTTAAAATTGTTTCCTATGTGTTTCTCTCTCTTTTTTTTTTTTAAGATTTATTTATTTATTTGAAAGGCAGAGTCACACAGAGAGAGAAGAGGCCGAGAGAGAGGCCTTCCATTCGATGGTTCACTCCACAGATGGCCGCATTGGCCAGACCAGGGCTGCGCTGTTTCGAAGCCAGGAGCCAGGAGCTGCTCTTCCAGGTCTCCCACACAGGTGCAGGGATTCAAGGACTTGGGCCATCTTCTGTTGCTTTCCCAGGCCAGAGCAGAGAGCTGGATCAGAAGTGGAGCAACCGGGTCTCGAACTGGCTCCCATAGGAGATGGTGGTACTTCAGGCCAGGGTATTAAGCCACTGTGCCAAAGCACTGTCCCTCCTACGTTTCTTGCTGGTATGTAGCAACCCACTTGATTGTATGTATTGCTCTCTTACCCAGTGTTCTCAACTTGCTAGTCAGTTTGGATTTGCTTTTGGAATATGTTAGATTATTTCTGTGTATAATAGTGTCTTCCACATATATTGACAACCTAGTTTCTTATAGAATGTTCCTCATATTTAATGTTTCCTTTTTGTTTTATTTTCCTCACTACATCTCCAGTGTAATTGTTGAGGAGAGAATGAGCGATGGTCTCCTCCCATGAAAAAGATTTGAAGGCTCTGGGTTAATTATACTGTTATTTATAGGATAATTGTACACAGTCTTAACTGGAATAAGCAATTTACTATTTTTACTATTATGCTATCACTTGCTTTATGAGTTCTACATGCTGAATTTTATATTTACTACTTAATGTTTAATTAAGTAATCATAGAGTTTCTTATATTTTCACCCATGTGGATGATTTATATAATTTATTTTAGTGTTATTGACTTTTATCTTTACTTATTAATAGTATCTTATAGTATATTCACTTTGTTATTAATCTATTATGTTTTCATATGTGGATTAATTGATGGAATATTTTACTTAAATATTTATATCTTTTTTTAAAGATTTCATTTATTTGTTTGAGAGTTAGAGTTACAGACAGAAAGAGGGAGAGACAGAGAGAGGGAGAGACAGAGAGGTCTTCCATCCACTTTTTCACTCCCCAAATGGCTACAAAGGCCAGAGCTGAACAGATCCAAATCCAGGAGCCAGGAGCTTTTTCTGGGTCTCCCACATGGGTGCAGGGTCCCAAGCACTTGGGTCATCTTTTACTGCGTTTACAGGCCATAGCAGAGAGCTGGGTTGCAAGATGAACAGCTGGGACATGGATACATGCTACAGGTGGAGGGGTTAGCCTACTACACCACATTGCCAGCTCCTACACTTCTGTTTATGGAACAGACGCTCCTTAAATACCTATTGTTTTATGTCACGGTCTGGATCATTAATTTTGTATTAAAAAAGACATTGAGACTATACTGTGTTTAATTTCACTTTCTGTGAATCTTCAGAATTTTGAAATTTTTTCCATCTTTAAAAGTTTAGAATGTTCATTAAATCTAGGCCTAAAATTTTGCTTATAAAACTTTTTTTGGTTGCTATGGTTTTTCAAATATCAATTAATTTCATTTATATGAGTTTCCTATGTTTACATTTCATTTACATTTTGTTAAAATGCCTTCCAAAATTCAGTGGATTTTTTGTCTGTTTTAAAAATATTACTCTTAAGTATTTCAGAAAATTCATATCTTGCTAAGATCTACAAACTCTGTAAATAATGATTTCCTTCTGATTCCTGAGGTTGATTTTGTTACTTTTCTCTTCATTGTTCACTTTTGGTAGTTTTTATTAGTTTTATTGTTTTAAGAACTGTTTTTTGTTGTTTTTGTTGTATGGATTTCATCTATGCCTACTGTTATCTTTTTTCTTTTTTCTATATTTTTATGTTACATATATTCTTAAGAATGAACCAAAATGATTGGCTTTCATTCTTCAATTCTAACATATTCACTCAAGTACATAAATTTTCTCCAAGCACTGGTTTATGTGAAATTTCATATATTCCTGCCTGTGCTTCCACACTCTTTGTTAGGAAAAGAGGCACAGAACAGAGAGCGGGCAGAATACAAATTTACTGCCAGACTGAATTTATTCAGAGAAAACGAATCCACAGAGGTGAGTGACCAACTGTAGGCATGCACATTGGTGGAACATAAGGCAGGAGGCCCCAAACATAAGCAGCCCAGTCTTTTTTTAATCTTAGGAGAGCTAGGGGTGGGGCTGGGAGTAGGGGCAGTTGAAGAGACTGTCCTTGCTCCAGGGATCGGTTTTAGCTCCTTTGTCAAAGATAAGTTGGTTATAGGTGCGTGCATGGATTGGTTTCTGGAGTTTCTGTTACATTGGTTTACACATCTATTTTTTTTTTCTTGCCAGTACTAGTTGCTTTGATGTTAACTGCCCTGTAATATGTCTTGAAAGTGGTACTGTGTTGCTCTCCAGCTTTGTTCAACCCTAATGTCCATCAACTGAAGACTGGATAAAAAATGATGGTATATATATGGAATACTACTCAATGGCTAAAAAAATAAACTCCTGTCTCTTGCAACAAAATGGATGCAACTAGAAACTATTATGCTTAGTGAAATAAGCCAGTCCCAAAAGATACTATATGTTTCCCCTGACCTGTGGTTACTAATAGAGTGCCTAAAATGTAATGCATAAGGAGTGAAATTGACATTTTAAGATTTGAGGAACATTTACAGCCCTTGTCTTTACTATTGAGGAGCAGTGTTTTTTTCTTCATACTATTTGCTGAACTCTTTACCTAGTGTAGGATGAATCTTACGAATATGAAATAAACTGAAAATAGATCTTTGTAAAAAAAATGAGTGGGAATGGCAGAGGGAGGAGGAAGAAGGATGGGAGTGTGGACAGGATGGAGGCTAGAGTGGGAGACAGCACCCCTTGTTGGCTGTAGAAGTCAGGCCCGAGGATGGAGAGGCAGAGTTGGACCTGATCCCAGGCCTCACATGCAGGGTTCACAACCCAACCCCTAATGTATGAAATACATGAAATTCATATACCTTAAGTAGCTTTTAATGATACCACTTGTAAGTAATTTAAGACTTCCAATTTTATCAGATTATGGAGTTTTCAAAAATTAATGCATGTGTATTCATTCACTTTTTATTTTTCTTCTATGTCTAGATTTTTACCAATTTTTTATTTATTCTTGGTTTCTTTTCTTTTTTCTCTCTTTTCCTAGACTAGGTGCAATGACATGAAGTCACAGTTTTAATATCTGTATTTCTGTTACATCATAGCATGGACCTTCTAGCTATCTGCAGGAACGGTAGGCAGAGATGAGAGTGTACTTATTTGTCATGGTTCCCATAATAAAATACCACTTATAGGGTGTTTTAAATGATCGTAACTTATTACTCATAGCTCTGGAGGTTGGAAGTCCCACATGGAAGTGATAGCAGGATTTCTTTCTCCTGGGAATCCCCCCACCCCGGGCTTCCAGGTGGCCACCATCTTGCTGTGTCCTCACATGGCACTTCCTCTGTCCACACTGGTGTCTCTCCTTCCTGGAAGGATACCAGTCAGCTTGGATTATGGCCTCACCCTTTTGATAACGTTTGACTTTAATAACCTCACTAAAGTCCCTGTCTCCAGGGGCTCAGGGATTTAAGATATAAACCTTGGGGAGAAAAAGTTTAGTCCACCACATTAGTAAGGGACCCAGGGCTCTGCTGCATAGGCAACCAGCTCTGTGGGACTTAGTGTTTGAAATGAGAGCAAGGGTTCCTCATGGTAATATTTTCATTATCACTGTATAATCTGGGAACACACACAGTCACACAAACATTTGTTTACATTTACACAAACCAGAATGGAAATACCTGGTGATTGTGTACAGATAAAATTAACACAATCCATATTATGGAATATTCATTAAAATTGATGAGGGGGCCTGCGTTGTGGTTTAGTGGGCCAAGTCTCTGCCTGTGGCATTAGCATCCCCTATGGATGCTGGTTAGCGTCCCAACTGCTCCTCTTCTGATTCAGCTCTTGGCTTATGGCCTGGGAAAGCAGTGGAAGATGGCCCAAGTGCTTGGACCCCTGCACACACATGGGAGACACAGAAGAAATCCTGGCTTTGGATTAGCCTGGCTCCTGCCTTTGTGGCTATCTGGAAAGTGAACCAGCAGATGGCAGACCATTCTATCTACTCTCCCTCTCTCTGTCTGAAACTCTACCTCTGAAATAAATAAATAAAACCTTTTTTAAAAAACCTACATGCTTTCTCTAAAAACAAACAAACAAACAAACAAACAAACAAAAAACTATGGGGCTGGCACTGTG